GTTAAATAGAGTTATTGAATAATGACTCATTTAATACCAGTGAAATGAATAAAATAAAACCTAAAAATAAAGTAAATAAAAGCATTGAGAGATGTTAATTTTCTTTCTTGATATGCTTATAAACAACTAGCTTATTGTCTAGATGACATAACAAAGTCTAGATGACTTTGTTTAAAACAGCATGGGCACTAAGTGGGGATCGCTCTAACAGAAACAGATTAAAAGTTAAGAACTGCAGGGTCCTAATAGGACATACCACTTTCTCTGCTCTGATACCTGTTAAAGAGCTCAGGATGCTGTTTCTAGGTTACTTGAGGATTTTTTCCCAGCTCTTCGCTTAGAATGACTATTAGGTCATAAATAGAACTCAGCTCCATTTCTGCTTTGTTGATGCCTTCAGAGACTCATTTTCTATATTCTATAGTGAAAAGAGGTGGCTTTTTGAAGAAAAGATGGAGTGGGAAAAAATAGGGTAAAGCCTGAATCAACCTGCCTGGATATAAAAGACCTTTGTCATAAATGAGGGATGTTTCAGCAGCACCAAGAGCAGACACGAGTGGCCATCTCTCTTTCTCTCTCCCTCTCTCTCTCTCTCTGTGTGTATGAGAGTTTAGAAGGAATTATCTTCCCAGCATGTCCAGACATGTAAGTGGGACGACAAGACCAAGTGTGGAGCTGACAACTGACTTATGAAAGGTTAAAACATTAGAATTTTGTTCCCAGGGTCTCCGGCTAAGCCCAAACTAACCCAGATGCTACAAAGGACACTATTTGTAATTCCAAAAATCTTTTCTTTATATGATTTCTCATTAAGTATTCTTTCTAATCCTATTTTAGGCTCAATTTCTATTTTTTAAAAATCAGTGAAACAACTGATCCTGGAGAAACCAGTTGTGGCAGGGGGCAATGGGTGGTGTTGGAAAGAAGTGATCCCACTATGTTGGTGGTAGGTAGGGTGGGGTGTGAATCTAGGAAAACCTAGACCTGAGTGCTTTCACTATGCTGCACAGTATGTAATATTCTTGGGGGCCCTGGGTGAGGAGAGGTCAACAGAATCCTCCTGATGAAGGATTAATTATTCAGGCATCTAGATTCCTGAAGAGCCAGAAACGTGTATTCTTGGGTGATGCCTACTCCTAACTGCTGCCTCCCTTTCCCACAACTCTCACATATAACCTCCTCCAGGTGTTCCAAACCCTGGGTAAGTGGTCATGTTATTTTGTTTCACAAGAGCATGGGGTTATCTCAAGTACAAACTCAGCACTGAACAGACACTTGATTGAGGTTTATGCTATTCAACTGTGATTTGGACGCAGTGTGGAAGGGATAATGGTTTCAAACTGACCCTAGTCCTCAGACCACATCTAAGAATCCTGCAGATCATCTTGATTTAGCTGCCAATTCTTCCTTCAGGAAGGCATGTGTTCAAACCATAGAAGACAAGTAGTCTTGAATTATATGCAGAAAGTTAGGGGTGTTTGGTTAAAAAAAAAACCCATAAAATCTGAACGTAGAAATAGAAACCAATCGTAATGCCATACAATATTGGATTCTTCCCTGTCTTGGTGCTTCACTGTTTCTAAAGAAGGCTGATACTTTTGTTTGCTCACCTTTCCCCACTATTTTAGGAGAGGTACGGACATTCTGAGAGTAAATGAAGAGGCTTTGGCTTAAGAAGCCATTGCCCAAAGAAACTACATCTCAAACTGAGTTTTGGCTTAGTTTCCAAATCCCCAATGTCCCCCACCCCTTACCCTGTCATCTACAGATTCGGTAAAAGAAATGTTTCAACATATTGTTAATCTAGTTGGAGCCTTGACCCAATGTATGGCCAGTAGCTTTAACAGCTTGAGGAATTGTTCAGTATTACTTGGCTAAGTTTGATCTTACTTTTTAGTCCACTAACTCTTCAAACCATAACAGTGGGATGAAATAATGGATGTCACAGAAAAAGCGAAATGGATTTGATATTATCCACAGTTGGAGGCAGATGTCTGCTGTTTGCTACTGTTGACCTCCCTGATCCCTTCCATCCCAAGCTATATACAGTGATTGAATCAATTCCTTCTTTAGTGCTTTAATGGCTGATTCTTTCCCTAGGAACATCTAACCAGCTGTTTGATAGTTCAGAATGAACCAGATTCTGGGGTTTCCATTCATTGCTATACTTGAAAATCTTGGTTGCTCCCTCCAACACTCTCTAGACTTGCCCCTTGGATTTGAAGGGAAATGCACTGTTCTGAGTGGAAAACCCTACTTCTCCAATTTCCATGAAAACTATAGCTTCCTAGACTGGTTCAAATTCAGTGGCATCAAAGCAGCACCATGCAGATTGAATGGGTTAGACTTCTAGGGGTTTTCAGACTCCAGCTTGGGCATCAGAATCACCTGGGAAGCCTTTCAAAATGTAGATACTGGGGCCTAACTTTGGAACTTCTCATTCACTGGCTTGGAGGGAAGTCTGGGCATCTTTATATTTAGAAAGCTCCATGTTTTATACTAAAGTACATTGAGATTTGAGAGTCTGTGGGTTTAGAGATACAGGCTCAGAGGCAAGAAGGAGGAATGCTGAAGTGGGGAGGAAGTAAGAGGGAAAGAGAAGAAGGAGGAAAGGAAGAAATGGCCATAGAAAAGTCCAAGCAATTAGAGAAATTGTCTGAAAGCAGGAGCATTGGGCTGGGAAGTGCTTCCATCACGAATACCCAAATATGAAGGTGTTTCAGTTTTAGGGGTGTGTGTGTGCGTGTGCGTGTGTGTGTATGCATGCATACACACACACGCACACGCACACACAATATAGCCGTTTGGGGAAGGTGCTGGGAAAATCAGAGAGACATGTCCCATGAGCCTGGGATTGTTCCTTCACCTCTGACACTTTTTCCATTCCCAGCCTGAGCTCTATCACACACACCCCAGGGGAGAAAGCACAACACAGCTGCTGCAAATTGGTAGTTGCAGTTGTGTGCTTCTTCTCATTCCCCACTCTGGCTGTCATTAAGACAGTATTTCTTTGGGTCACATCTGGCTGGTGGGGTATCAATGATTTATGGTGGGGGAGAGGGAGGGAGTGAGGAAGAAAGATCACAAAAATACATCAGGGCCATCAGCAAAGTAAATTATACCTATTCCCCCAGGCCTACACCCACCCACCCACTGCCACCCTGCCCTCAATTTGCTGCCATGGAAGGCGTTCTCGTAGCAACTTAAAGCATGGGTTTGAAGCTCATGTGATGAGGCTCTGAAGCATAGTTTCATATGATCATATGTTTTATGACCCATAGCAGAAACTGCCCATGTGCAGAAGGGTGTTTCTGCACATGGATAGCCAGAGGGATCTACCCAGTAGGACCACTTGGGAATTTGATCAACTTTGCTAAGTGAAATAAATTTGCCTAAGCATAGTACATTCAATTCCCTCTTTTCCGCTTAGAAATTATGCAAAACCAGTTTTGTTGAGCATGGGCCTAAAAAATGTTTTCCAGTGTTTCATTTTAATTTGAGGGAGAGGTGACTTGACCTTTGTCTTCTTTTCAAAGTATCACAACATAGCAACTCTACCATGGCCCGGTTCCAGCTGTATCACCATTATTCAGTTTAGATTTACTGTTTCTCTAGACTGAGCTTTTCAGTCTGAACTGGATGTTATTTATGTCTGAATCCTGTACCTAGGAGCTTCCCTGGCATGCAAGCAATGCTCAATAAATGTTTGCTGGGTACAAGGTTCTCAGGCAAGTTTCAAGTAGTCATTTGCAGAGAGGTATGCGCTTCATAGCAACACTGGGTTTCAGCATGTTGACCCAAACATAAAAACTGGAAAAAGAGGATTTTTGAATCAAGAGGACATGGTTCTTGCGAAAAAATTAAAAGATACAATACCCTGTATCACATCTCTGTGTTGTAACAAAACTCTTCTGATTTTAGGAAGAAGTCAACACCTCTCTTGGCATCAGTTCCTTTCTATCTGGCAGTTCTGTTCAATGGGAAGCCACTCGTTTCCCTCTCCCCCTTCCCTGCTTTAGCGTGTAGACACTACTCCCCAAGCAGACTCTTAGACTGTTTTCAGCATGGCCAAATAAATTTGACTATTTGCAAAACTCTGGGTGAGATGGTATTTTCAAGACTGGCAACAAGCATTTTTCACCCGAATGCTGGAGAACAACACTGGATTCTGGCAAGTCATTCCTCATGCTCAAGTAGGAGATCCTACAAAGAATTATATTTTCTGGAGCTTTTACAAATAATGGACTTGACTCTGCCAGAATGGAGACAGCTCAAATATGTTGTGTATATTTGTGTATCCCATAGGCAGAAATCTGGCACTTTGACAGCTTCTGGATAATAAAAGGGGCATCTTGAAGGGAAAAGAAGATTTACCATTGACTGGTTGACATATGCGTCACATAACCAGCAGAGTGTTTTGTTAGCAGTGAAAATTATGGCAATGTATTTGTCTGATGGACTATTCTAAAATGATAAGGTAGGATTAACATGAGAAATAGAAATATAATAGCATGCCATAATGCTAACAATTCAATAAAAATGGCTTCTTGTTAGAAGACCAGGCCTGACTTTTCTCATTAGCCCTAAAAATTAATAATTGTGCTCTCTAGCTCTCTTTCAGGGACAGATGCAAAACAAGGATGAGAACAGAAGAAACTCTACAGTTTCTACATGAAGGGGAGTTGGATAGAATCCTTGTGTCAGGTTTGGCCAACTCATTCACAGAGCATCAGCTGAGTGCCCGTATTTCTCACTACAGTAGGACAAACTTAAAGATGACATTTCTCTTAGGCTGGTGGGTGGACAGAGAGACTCATTAGGGTGCAAATTTCATGCTTTGTTTCTCAGGAAAGACCTGGAAGAAATCAAAGACATTCATCAACTATTCCATCAAGGTGTGTATGTGACCACAAAGTCATGAGGAGGGTGGAAAAGGGAGCTGTTGAGGAAAGTCTCACAACCTTCTGGACTCCTGCCTCTGCCCATCTCAAGCTACGTACCCAGTACAGCACGTCTGTCCAGCCCTCCATGGTGATGCACTGGAACACCGTCAACATGGCGAAGGCAAAATTGTCGAAGTTGGTGATGCCGTGCTTGGGCCCGTCCCACCCGGGCTTGCACACAGTGCCGTTCTGACACTGCCGCCCATGGCCTGTCTCCAGAGCACAAGGGGAAGGATCATCTTCTGCTGGAACATCTTGAATGACCAGGGGAAAAGAGAAGGCAGCAGAGGGGATGGAGAGAGATGGGCAGAGAAAGAAGGAGAGAGAAAGTCAGAGAGAAAACTGATAGGATAAGTTTGATGGGCTAGGCAAAACAACCACAGCAACAATAATGCAGAACAAGTTTTCATTAGTTCCCCCCAGAGACGCAGTAAACAACATAAGGAACTAGGTATTCATTTTAGGCTGCCATTGATTTAGAAGGTCAGTACTTCCAACTAATTGTAAAACTGTATTTTAACCTCGGTAATTGATTTCAAAGACAGTAAGGCTATTGCACATTCTGCTGAAACACGTTGGCATCATGGTCAAATGGCCAATTAAAAGCTAAGGATAATGCAACCACTCCAAGTGGAAAATATCCTGAAAAGTGATAGGAAGTCTACCTTTTCTTTTTTTGGTGATGAAATATCTATGGATGCTTCCATTGGAATACCAGAGTTTAGGGTGAGGGCTATATTGATTGGAAGAGACTTCCACATAATTAGCCAACAAATCCCATTCAGTAACACTTTCTCCATTATGTGTTACAGGATATATTAGCAGAGATACAAGTCATTTTATAGTGGAAGCCTTATGTTGATAAATGACAAAAAATAAATTCTGACCATAGGGGGAATGTATCAAACACAGTGGTCTTGATTACAACCCTTGAGCATAAACACTGCTGACTGTCATGTGGAAGCTTGCGGTACTGCTCTTTGGTCTCCAGAATTAATACCTTTCAGAAGAGAAGAATCCTTTTCTGACCTCTAATCAAGACAGAGCGGCAGTGGGTGACAGGGAGAATACTCCCTATGTATGGACAGGGCTTTTTCAGGAAACTGTATAACATACCTACTGTGGCTACAGACAGTGCTTGGGCTAATTCCACATGCTGGGAAGAGCTACTAGAAAATTAATAATTAAGATGTAGCTTATATATTTGGTATGGACATCATTGGTAAATGGAAATAAGACTAGACTGATCTAGGGATGCCTGAGTGGCTCAGTCAGTTAAGTGTCTGCCTTCAGCTCAGGTCATGATCTCAGGGTCCTGGGATTGAGCCCCACATTGCATCGGGCTCCCTGCTCAGCAGGGAGTCTGCTTCTCCCTCTCCCTCTGCCCCTCCCCCCAGCTTGTGTGTGCTCTCGTGCGCACTCTCTCTCTCTCTCTAATAAATAAATAAAATCCTTAAAAAAAAAAAGACTAGACTGATCTAAGAATTCCCATTATGGTAAAATACAGGTAGTCTTGAGCCAGCTATGGAAGGTAATAGTTTCAAATTCACGGAAGTTTGTAAAATTAAGGACATTGTCATATGCTTGTAGAAAGTAACAGTAATAAACAGAATAGACTTCAGTCATAACAAACACATGATTGCCTTTAACAATAGTGAAAATATGCACCCAGATAGAGAATTTACTTATAGTTCTTCATTTACAGATAACAGGTCACCCAGGGGCTTTTCTTGCTTCATATGCATCACAACAATTACAAGTGTCTAGTACCTCTGTATTTAAGACTATTGGTTGGTTGGCTCCTTCTCAGTTTGTGCCTTCAAATTTGAACCTGTTTACTACAAAGAGGAAGATAGGAAGAGGAATATTAATCCTAACTAGGAGACAGTTCTTATAAGAATGTAACTGAGCAGTATGGTTGGAAATATATGCTGGAGTGTGTCTTCTTGGCTTTTTTTCTTTTTTCTCTCTTAACAGCTTTATTGAAATATAATTTACATGTCTTACAATTCATCAATGTAAATGTACAGCTCAATTATTTTTAGTAAATGTATATAGTTGTACAGCTATCACCACAATCCATTTTAAAACATGTCCATCATCCTCCCAAATTCCTGTGTGCCTGTTTGCAGTCAATCCAGCTCCTCTCCCCAGCCCCTAGCCACTTGATCTATACTCTATCTCTATAGCTTTGCCTTTCCAGAAATTTCATATAAATAGAATCATACAATATGTGGCTTTTTGTGTCCCTCTTCTTTCACTTAGCATAATGTTTTTGAGGTTCATCTGTGTTGTTGCACGTATTAGTATATTCGTTTTTGTTGCCAAGCACTGCATTTCACTGTATGTCTATCTATTCACCAGCTGATGGACATTTGGATTGTTTCCAGGTTTGAGCTATTGTGAACAGTGCTGCTTTCTGGCTTATTCTTGGCCTGGTGCTTCAGGTTGTGTGTGAGTCTTTGTGTGATGACCAAGGTGTAAAGGTCTGCATCACTGGTCCCTGAACTGTTTGAGGGAATGACAGTGTCCACACCATTTCATGACTCCAGGGTCTGGCTCCCAGTAGGGCTCTGCTTCTGGAGCTGAACTCTAGTTAATCTTTTTTTTTTTTTTTAAAGATTTTATTTATTTATTTGAGACAGAGAGAATGAGAGAGAGAGAGAGAGCACATGAGAGGGGGGAGGGTCAGAGGGAGAAGCAGGCTCCCCGCCGAGCAGGGAGCCCGATGCGGGACTCGATCCAGGGACTCCAGGATCATGACCTGAGCTGAAGGCAGTCGCTTAACCAACTGAGCCACCCAGGCGCCCAACTCTAGTCAATCTTTTGTGACTTTAGAATTTTTGAAATATTTGGAAATTTAGATGTGGGTTTAAACAGTGGGAGGCTATAAAAAGAGGGAAACTAAGAAGTCAATCCCAACCCTAAAGAATGAATAAAAAAGTGGGTAACAAACACCTAAAAAATTGAGACTGGGAAACCAAGAACTAAACAGATCATACGTTCTGTTGGGTTTCTCACCCGTTCTGGTGATGGTTTTCTACTGTGATGTGTTCAGTCACTGTGATAAAAGTGCTGGAATGATATAGGAGATGGGAGAAAAAGAGGTGAAAAAACAGAGGGACAACTTGCATTTCTTTTTCTCCTGTTTCGCCTTCTAGTGAATAAAGATGCTGTTACTCTTTGCATTGTGACTGCTCATCTGACAGTCTTCCCTGTGTTCTCTATTCCTGAAACAGGCAAAAATAAGGAAAAAGTGAAGGTTGCCAAAGTGAATTCTGAGTGTCCTCAAGGAAGAAAAACATCTTTTGGGGTTTTACAAAAAAATATATGTTGAAAAGAAAATGGCATCAAGGGGAGGTGATCTCATTAATAATAATAATAAAAAAAGGGATGAGGTTCATAGAGATTATCTAAAGGCTCAAGGGCCACTGCTATTTTAAACTATCTTGAACAACAATAAAAAAAGATTTGAGAACAATTAAGAAGCAATGATGATCTGGTAAAAATAGGTATCTATAAAAAGCACTAAAGGGAACACTTGAAAAATGTGAACACACACATATCAGCAGGTCCTTGCGACATGCACTTGAGGGTGGGGAGAAATTAGTTTGAACATGAAAATTGTGTTGGTTTTCTTCTGCAGAGTCATGAAGTCCCAGGGAGGAAAGCAGGAACAAAAGTAGGAGAAAGAAAGAAAGAAGTGGGCCCTATGCCTTAAAACAGAAGTGAAGTAGAATCACTCTGGAAAGTCCAAATTAAGTTTGTGGTAAAAGAATGGAGGCGAAGATTAGGAGAGATGTTAGAAAAGCAGTTAATACCAACAAGAATGTGAAATCCTGGGAGAGTGCCAGTTAGGGGTTCCAAGGAGAAATCACCAAAGACAAAATCAATTACTTTTTTAGGACCCAACTTTAAGAAGTAAATACAATGAGAATGATTTCATTTCTAGGTTTGAGCCAACCAATTCTTTGTCAGTCTCAGGGGTAATTAGTGTGCTTGGGAGAGCGATTCAGAGTGGCCTGGCTCAGAGTGCCATCAAACAGATGGGACAGCCAGAAACAAAAGGTGCCGGCATATGGTGATGTATCTGTTGAGGAACTAGGAAGGCGCCTTGCAGATGCCTCTGGGATCGGAGAAAAAATTGCCTCTTCAGAGACCACCTCTATGGGGAACTGGAAGGGCAGCCTAGAGGCTGAATAATGGTCTACCCAGCCAGCTCCAGAGCTTTCTTTATCCAAAACATGGCTCAAAATCCAGTGTGTCCTACAATCTACAAGCACATAAAATTCCCAGCCTGAGAAATAATCTTAGAGTGCAAAAAGAAGAATTTGATCTAAATTCCATTAAAAAATTATGACAAGGGCTCACAAGCACTTTTGTATAATCTAAATTTGCAGAAAAATATGATAATTCAATCCAAAGTCTAAACTTAAAAAAATATCACCCATTCCAAAGGTGGCATAAAACTCTCCAAAACACATAGGGGTTGGTTTCAAAGATTGCAGGTTTTTGGTCTTATTCTCTATGGCTGCATGGAGTATGTCCAGATTCCCATACGTTTTTTTCCTTCTCATTAGTTTTAGTCACTATGTAGGTGGAAGAGGCCCTGATGACTGTGGTACATGTTCTGTTGGGAGTGATGGAGTGGGTCCCTGGATTTGTCATCAGATGGCAGATTTAGGAAGGAGGAGCTACATGAGCTCCTGATTGCAGAGCGTTAAGTGAAAAGGCTTCTACAGCCAGGTGTCCTCAGCCCCTCTTTGGAGCAGGGAGCCTGGCTCCACACGGAGTGAGGTCACCTTCCTGGTGGGGCTGGCATGCTCCTCTCTCTGGAACACTTCTCTCAGTGTCTGTCCTCTGACACCCTGGCTCCCCAGGCTGATGGTCATTTTCACCATGGCAGCTAACTTCCCTTCTGACTTGTGGGGGTGAAGGTAAAACCCACCGCTAAATAATCTGATGCATCTTCTGGGAGGAAGCAGGTGACGTCCCAAGTATTTTTCCTAGTCCTGTTTTTGTTTTTGTTTTTGAATCAAGGATAGAAAACAATATGGCTCAAAATGGTTCTAAAGAGGTCACTTCAATTGGTGAGTCCAGTTCTGGTCTTTATCCTAATGGTGGGGAGGCCACTCGAAGTATTGGCAGGCTGTTGGTGGCTCTTTCACCAGAATGTGCATCTGTGGTCCAGAGAAGAGCATCCTATCCTGTGTCTCCTTTGTTTATCATGCCCACCATTTTCTTGCCAGTTGAGGCCACTGCTGGTCTGACAACAAAGCCCAGTGACTTCCAACGTTCAGGGTTGCTTGTTAGCATAGGCCCTTAGAGGATCTTGCTACCAGTGAAAAACATACTTTTGCTGTTTTCCCAGCAGGATGATAGAAACCATGTGCAGCTCTGGGAGCAGTGCTCCTTAGGTAAGTGGTGCACAGACCTTTGGTTGCAGGGTAGGTTTGCTATCATTAGCTCTATGGCAGAATTTCACCATTTCATTCTCCCCCTGCCTCTTGGTATGCTATTGGTGAGAGCCGCACCATCACACATACCCACTCTTGGGCTCTTTAACACTCAACCTCCCTGTGACTATCTGAAGAGTTTGGGTCTGAAGAGTCACTGAACATTTCAATACAACTGCATAAACTTGAGAGATAAACAGTCCAGCTCTTAAGTGGGACTTAGAATGAGCTCTAACAAAGCTACCCAATTAACATAAATTTATTGGTTCAGGGCTGGCTACAGACTAAACTGAATAAAAAGAAGGATTTGAATTCAAGGGGAAAATACTACTCATTGCATTATTTGGTATTCCTCTAAGCAAAGCTGGAAATCTCAGAATTTTAGCTGAAGGCAAGATCTGTTCTAATGTTAAAGAGCTTCTGTTTTTTTTTAATATGACAGTTTATTTTATACAGTTACGACCCAAATAATTAGGAAGTTCTCTCCAGAGTGAAAAAAATGGTCTCTTAAACAGACTCTTTATCAAAAAAGTAAAAACAATTGTATGAGTCTGTGATTATGGGTTTATAGTTTTTTGTTTGTTTGTTTTAGGACTATGGTCATATAGTGGTGATCTAGAAACTACAAATACCCAGTCAATCCACCCAATTAAACCAGATCATCCAGATCAGGTACTCTATTTTGGTTTCTGAATATGAATAACCAATGTCACTCCTTGTTGTGTAGATCTGTCCCTCCTCACCATCCTAAAGCAAGAGGGGTCAAATTTAATTTAATGCCTGGGCTGAATGGGAAGGAGAAGCAGTACAGATGGAGAGAAATGAGGTATCTTTTAAAGCTTCAGACCTTTCTCCACCAAGAAGCCAAAAACCAAGATGAAAGGTCTTGTTGTTGGAAAAAACAATCACATAAATTTAACACTTCTAACCCCTTTGGGGGGAAGTATTTTTTTTCAACAAGTTTTTATGTTAAACTACTTTATGCGTCTGTTTAAAAGTTTTGTCAATTCCTGTTTAAATGATTTTTTTAAAGGTGCCACTGAGATTTTAGTAACCTAAGACAACAGTTTGTAGCATATCCCACAAGCCAAAACTTTGGTCCTATTCAGAGAAGTGCTTACTGGGTCAGCATTGCTTGCTAAATATATTGACTTATGGAAGGACCACAGGGAGAGAAGTCTCAATAGGGCCCCCCTGTGACAGGGGGACAGCAGAAAACCCTGAACACAGAAGAGCCAAGATCAGCCCCGAGGGGTAGACAGAACCCAACATTGTGACTGAGGTATCTACTGGCTTCAGGCAAAGCTGCCTTCCTGAAAGGGAAGCGACAATCAACTGAAGGACCAAGGAACAGAGATACACACCCTCACTACGTCAGTTCTGATTCTTAAATTAAAATACTCCAGGTTGTCTAGGTGATGTTTCTTGATTCACACAGCTCATTTAAGCTTTAGTAGTGCTGGACGGGAACTTGCATTTAGCTGTTTTAACAGAGATGTATTGTATTAGAAAAAAACTAACCGAGAGGAAAAGAATACCAATCTCTGCCTCTCACTTATCCATGGAATGAAAAGATGAGTACTTGAATGGAGGAGGCCTTCCCTAGTACCACCGGTCATGTGGTGACAATTCACGCCGTTACAAGGAAAGTAGCGATGAGACAGGGAAGCTTCTTGAGAGCTGGCCACTCACATCTTCCCTTACCTGCTATGCCCTCCTGATTGTAGCAGGTCTTATGCATCTTCCCCATGAAGAGCTCCAGGCCGATGATAGCATAGATGATGATGACAAATAGCACTAGCAGGGCAATATGCAGCAGGGGCACCATGGCCTTGATAATGGAATTCAGAACCACCTGGAGACCTACAATGACAAAATCAGACAGTAATAGTGAGCACATCAGCTTCCATTTATTGAACCAAGTGCTTTCCTGGATGTCATACTGACATAATCTCATGCAATCTTCTTAGCAACTCTACCAGTGATGTATCACAAGCCCCATTTTTTAGATGAGGAAAGTGAGGCTTAAAGTCACACAGTGAGCGAGTGACAAAGCAGGGATTGGTATCTAGGTTGGCCTGACTCCAAATCTTTCTTGGAGGCACGTCCAAATGAAAGGACTGGCAGATGCTGTGCTTCTAAGGGGAAGAACATATTGTTTTATCCAGAACTATCCAATTTCCTAATATCCTGTCTTAGAGACAACCTAACATCTTTTTATCCTAGACCAGCATCTCACTATAGTGAGAGTTAACTGACTAGAGATAGCCCCGCAAGGACTTGCTTATCACTCAAGGTGGGATTCCTAGAGCCGATGGCTGACCCATCTGCTAGAAAACACAAATCTGGTTGCTAGGCATCTGGGAGGGTGGGACTTCCTTTGTTGAAACTGATTCATACCCCCAGGATACATGTAAGTGGTTAGACCTCTGTGGGACCTTCTCTCCAGAGATTACGTGAGTGGACCTCTCTTCCTACAGATTTCTGACCAGGCCCCTTTCCCTCAGTGCCCAAATCTGAAGATTATTACATCCTTCCATTCAAAAACCCCAATGAAGGGAGTTCATGTTTAATGTGTATGTACTTTCCATTTGGGAAGATGAAAAATTTCTGGAGATGGGTAGTGGTGATGGTTGCACAATGTGAATATACTTAGTGCCACTGAACCATACACTTAAGATAGTTATAATGGCAAATTTTGATATGGATACATTACCACAATAAAAACTGAAAGTACCCAGATCCTGTCAAGAAAAAAAAGTAAATGAAAAATCCTATTTAGCACATGGGTCTTGTCAGTGTCCCCAAAAGTGTAGGCTTGTACTGCTGTCTTATGGGAAAAAGCACCCCCTAACTTATTTTTTTCCTGCTTTCTCTCTTTTTTTTTCTTACTTTTTAAAAAATTTAATTAAAAAAATTTTTTTTTCAAGATTTCAGGACATGTTTAATTTATAGTTATAGGCAGGGCTAATAGGTCTAGAATAAATTCCCCTGATGTCTTCGGACAGCATTTGGAGATGACAGTATGTTTATTTACACTTTACTTTAAAAATAGTTTCTTGGTCAAATTGTTCATCATCTAAGAATGTCTCAAGAAAAGATTGTGTGTTAGGATAAGGATAGTTGGAGGAACTGTAAGTAAAACAGAATTTTTTATTCTTTTTTTTTTAATTTAAATTCAATTAACATATAATGTATTATTTGTTTCAGGGGTACAGGTCTGTGATTCATAAGTCTGATATAATATCCAGTGCTCATTACAACACATACCCTCCCCAATGTCCATCACCCAGTTACCCCATCCCTCCACCCCCATTCCCTCCAGCAACCCTCAGTTTGTTTCCTATGATTAAGAGTCTCTTGTGGTTTGTCTCCCTCTCTGGTTTCATCTTGTTTCATTTTTTCCTCTCTTCCCCTATGATCCTCTGCCTTGTTTCTTAAATTCCACATATCAGTGAGATCATACAATAATTGCCTTTCTCTGACTGACTTATTTCACTTAGCATAATACCCTCTAGTTCCATCCATGTCATTGCAAATGGCAAGATTTCATTTTTTTTTGATGGCTGTGTAATAGGACCCCTTAACTTATAAGCTCAACCATAAATGACACCAAGAATTCTCTTTGTTTAAAAGGGATGTTACAAGTTTTCATTGATGCATCTGTGCATCATACCACACAAGGTGCTTTTAGTGTCTCCACCTGATGTATCCACCCAGCTGTGGACACCCTTCCACTGCCCTGTGCATTGGGAGTTTCACCTTCATATTCACCCACAGCCCTCCCTCTGCACTGGATAAACAAAGTCTGGGTCACCCTCTCCCCAGGCCCCAAGGCAGCCATTGGTGTTTTGTGATTTGGTGGAGTGATTTTCACAAGGCTAATTAGAGGAATTCTCCCCAGTTATTAAGCTAAGATGGGGAGAGGGAAAAAAAATTAAAAGAAGAGAAAAGCTGGAATAATTTTACCTGTGAGTTAATGAGAGTGCTTTGCAGCCTCCCATTAGAACAAGATGTTTTCAGATCCAAATGATTTCATTAATTAGCAAGTTGTACACACATTAGTGCTAAAGTATGCGAAGCCATGGAGGAAGTTGAAAACTGAACTGCAAAGCAAGTTTAAGAGGTGTCTGCTGGCGTGGGGTGGGTGGGGGGGCGCTCTAAGTGCTACTCACTGAAGGGGAGGAAGGCCTCCCAATCCCGCCCACCCAGACCATCAGCGAGCCTTGTTATCAGGCCTTCGGTGCCATAGCCTGCAGTGGTGAGAAAGCGGTGGGAGACATAGAATGGGAACCTCTCCTCTGTGCCACAGCCAGAAGTTCTGCTCTTAAAGACCAGAGTCCTTCTCGTGCCCTTCAAAGTGTGGCACAAGGGCTGGACCCCTATCTACTTCTCTGTCCACTCCCATCCCCTGCCCCTCACTCTCTGCATTCCTGGTCAAAACAGCTTTTCTTTTAGCCTCAAATATCCCATACTGGCAGACCTCAGAGACCACGGCAATGAAATGAATACTGCATTAACGCAAGTCAAATGCATGTTTTGCTTTCCCAGGGCATGTAAAAGTTACGTTTACATGATGCTGGAGTAAAGTGTGCAAGAGCATTATCTCTAAAAAACCAACATACACACCTTAATTTAAAAATACTTTATTGCTAAACAATGCTAACCATCATCTGAGCTTTCAGTGAGTCATAATCACTGATTACAGATCACCATAACAAATAAAATAATAAAAAAAAGTTTGAAATATTGTGAGAATTACCCAAGAATTACACAGAAACACAAAGTGAGCAAATGTTGCTGGGAAAATGGCTTGATAGACTTGCTGGACGCAGTCCTTTTCTCAATTTGTAAAAAAAAAGATGCAGCATTTGCAAGCACAATAATATGAAGTGCAATAAAACGAGGTATGCCTGCACCTCCTCCTCCACAGGGCTGTGAAGCATGCTGTTCCCTTGGCTGGAAGTCTCTCCCACGGTTCCCTCCTACTTATCCTTCAGCTAGGATGTGAATGGACAGGTGAGTTTCAGGGGCCAGCAAACTCAGGCGGAGACTACTGAGTGGGCTACAGAGAAGTCAAAAAGAAGCCACAGCAGCCCGTGGGCTTCCTTCCAGCCATCAGGGATGCCATCAGAGTTCTGAAGTAATGCTCTGTTCCCCCGTCCCTATCTCAGCAGGAGGCTGTACCACCCACCTGAGCACCCAGGCCAGAAACCTGTTTGCTGAAGCTCTTCCCTCTAACTGGTTATCAAGTCACACAGTTTGATTTTGAAGTGTCTTCAGACAGGAATGAATTATTTTTACTATATAAATAACAGGAAAAATCATGTATTATAGGGAAAATAGAAAATCATAGAGAAAATAGAAAATACTTATGACAGAGAAATTACAAAACATGGGAAGCAAAAAGAAGAAGGAAATCATCCCTTATTCCACCACCCAGAGATAACCACTGTTAGCCTTTGGCATATATTGTGGACATTTTGGTTTATGACTTGTTTTCCTCTTCTTTGTCCTCTTGGTGTTCTTCATTCAGTTAATGGTTTCTTTATGTCCAGTTTTGCCTGATCTTCTTGCTGTGGTTAGAAAGCTCATGCTAAAGCACAAACCAGAACCTGTTGCTCCTCTGATGAAAAGTCCTTCCATGACCCTCATCACCTATAGGTAAAACCCACCTGCCTCCTTTTGTAGTTTCATCACATCTGATTCCAGTTTACACCTTCCATTCCAAGAATATACTGAATTGTCTGAAGTTCTCTAGCTTCATGCCTCCACTGTTCCACCTGTCTAGAATGCCATTCCCTGCAGCCTCAGTGCATCTTCTCATCTTTGTATCGCAGCACATAGTAGTGACTCAATGCACATGGAGCTAAATCACATTTGTAAGCACAGGCTGCCTTAGAAAACAGAAACCATAATGATCTGACAATACAACTTCAGTTTCTTCTAAAGATTATTGAAGAAACTGAAGTTGTATTGTCAGGAAAAGATAAGACTCATGAAATGGGAAAAGCACAGGCAGGGAGGGTGATATCAGCGACTTCCACATTATTTAAACTGCTATTTTGAGGAAAAGGAGTTAGATGAGTTTGATGTAACCATATGGATGGAACCGGGACTAACTAGGAAGTTTCCAGGAAAGATTTAGATTCAACAGAAATGAAAATTATCAAAAAACCAGATCTATCTGAAGGTGGAGTGGGATGTTTTAAGAGGTAGTGGAATAGCCAAATTATGGAAAGAGCCCAGATGTCCATGGACAGATGAATGGATAAAGAAGATGTGAGATATATATACACAATGGAATATTACACAGCCATCAAAAAGAATGAAATCTTGCCATTTGCAACAATGTGGAAGGAACTAGAGGGTATCATGCTAAGTGAAATAAGTCAGCCAGAGAAAGACAAATACCATATGATTTCACTCATATGTGGAATTTAAGAAACAAAACAGGAGAACATAGGGGAAGGGAAGGAAAAATAAAATAAGATGAAATCAGAGAAGGAGACAAACCATAAAAGACTCTTAACTCTAGGAAACAAACTGAGGGTTGCCGTAGGGGAAGGAGGTGGGGGATGGGGTAACTATAACTGGGTGTTATGTGCAAGGCTGATGAATCACTAAATTCTACCCCTGAAATTAATAATACACTCTGTTAACTAAATTGAATTTAAATACAAAATTAAAAAGAAGTAGTGAGCTCTCCATCCTCAGATGTGTCCAAGCATTGACTGAACAAGTTCTTGGAGGAGGTGCTTTGTGGGCATTCAGCCATGGGGTGAAGATTTGCCTGGGCACACCAATGCCCCCAATTTCCTCATTAACCTGTTCTGAAGACATTACCTTGGGTCAGGTACAGC